GTGTGTAAAATTGCATGCAATTTAGAACCCTGTCATTGAGTTCTGCATTTGCCTTGCAACCTACTGAAGAGTTCATTGTTATCTTTGTCTCTGTTTCTGTTCTCATATCACATCATGTTTAGCTCAGTTCTGTTGGGATGCTTTTACATCATTGTTTTCAAGTGCTTATTTTCATCTCTAAAATACTGACAAAGCGAGAACAGAAAAGTCAGATTAAAGAACAAAAACAGTCATGCATATGTGTCTCTGGAGGTTTTGAAGCAGATGAGAGAAGAGGAAGAGAGCGGAGGGGGAGGGGGGTCTTCTTAGTAATGCAATACTAGCTTCTCCCGACCTGTTCAGTCAGGCTTCACTTGTCAGGCAATGGAGTTGCCTTTTTGTCTTTGTGAGCTGAGGGGATAGGTTTTACCCCTTCAAGCCTGGGCTGGGCTGTGTTTATATTAGAACAGGTTTGGGGTGATGTAGCCTACCTCCTAAATACGGGCTGCAGCTTGGGCATGTATAGACCTCAACATACCCACGAGAGTTTGGTCGAGGCAGGTGTAAAGTTCAGATGATGCCATTTAAGGACTGGGCTGGGATGTTTTAAAACCTCCTTTCCTTACAGCGACACAGGATGTTGTGTGTCAAACAGATGTCCAGCGCTGATAACATCCAGTCAGCATTGTAAGCTTGGCGTGAGTGCACTGAGGAAAACATCATTGTCTTCTGCCTCCTTATCTCAAGCTAGTCTTCAATGAGCTGCTAAATTTGCACAAAATTTACCAGCGTAAGTAGAATTGTCTTGTGGGAAGGATTGTAGAAATTATTTAATAATGTTTAATGTTTTCTTCTCTTTGGAAAAAGCAAGAGCATACATACCTATTGTTGTAGGCTGGCTTTGTTCCTTGTTTTCTGACCTTTAGTTGTGAGCAGAATGAAGGATTTCAGTTGTCGCTTCTAAACACTGACTCGCTGGGAATGTCCAGTATTTCACTGCATCACCCTTAGTGCATTTACAAGTGTTCAGTGAACAGTTGGAATAACACAAGCTTATTTTCCTAACTCAGGAAAGACCATTCCTTTACTGCCCCCACCTATTGACTCACCCCCACCCTACCCCTCTTCTCCTAGTCTTGTCATTTCTCGTCATCTCCGCTCAGCCCAATGCCACTGCCCCCACCCCGATTTGCTATCCAAAAACAGTCTGTAAAATCCATCTCTCTGTCTTCCTCCTAATCACCCCCTTCTTTTTCCATGTCTGTGTTGTGCATCAATACATTGTCTGTGTTCATTTGGCCTTTAAATAGATTTATTCCAAAATGCAGCTCTGAAAAGAATTTGCTTTGTGAACTTGAGGCCAGAGAGAGGAGGAGGGGGACAACGCGGAAGATGGGGGTTGTTAAAACCACAACACTAAGCCTCCATTCATTCATTCATCATATGGGTGTTTATATCCTGTCCGTCAGTCCACCAACTGTCCACTCATTAACCAAAGGCAAAGAGTGAAAGAATAGCCTGTCTGCTGCCATTTTCCAATTTAACTGGCCTGAACCAACTTCCTGCTCACAATATGCACTTCCAGAAAGCCTTGAATGGTGACCTGTCCAACTAAGCCTGGTTAAGACAATGATTGTCCTGGTGTGTTGTGTGAACAGGGGCTATGTGCCTGTTTGTATCCTGCTCTAGTTGGTGTTCTAAGTATGCCGATGACTATGCGGTCTCAGTCGGTCTTATCAGCCGACACCTGATGGAAGACTTACTGGACTTAACACCGCAGCTTAACTCTGCTTCACAAAAACCTGCCTTCATTCAGCTACAGGAAAAAAGCCTGCGCTTCCTAGCTGCCTGAATATGTGTGCGCAATCAAACTTGGGTTGAGAGAGCCTCTTGAAAATGTCACATAGCTTTTCTGTCTCCTGAGAGCCTTTACCTTTTGGTGAAGAAGAGGAACGTAAATAAAAATAAAAATAAAAAAAATGCACACACACTCCATCACAAATTTCCTGGTTAAAGGCTGTGGCGACTAGCTTGGTTTCATGGTTTTGCTATATAGTACAGCTGAGTTCTAGGGCTTTTTTTAGACCAGGACTTGTGTTGAATTTGAACAGGAGGGTTTTAGAATGGCCTGACAGGTTGATTGTTAGCTAAATTCCTTTGCTGAGTAGGCTGGACTTCCCCAGCATCCCCCCCTACATCCCACTAGCCCCCTGCCCAGTCTAACCCTTTGTGTGGGGGCCAGGGACAGGGGCAGTATAGAGGGCACCAGCCTGAACCATTGTGGGACAAAAGAGGGGAGGGCTATGGGATTATAGGGCTGCCTTTTAGTCTCACTCCCACTGCAGCTGGCTTAGCTCAGGCACACAGAGAGGGGCAAAGCGGGGGCAAAGTTGGCTCTGGAAGCTTCTCCGAACCCCCTTCCTCTCTTGTGTCTCTTCCACATCCCTTCACCACCTCCTAACCCCTTTCGATTTGACATGTCAGGTCATGTTAGCTTTGTGCAGGCTGGGACTGCGCAAGCCAAAGGAAGAGGGAGGGTGGCAGAGAATGAGGGACACGCATAGGAGTCTTTGCCCTTAACCCCACTGCGTCCTGTATTTAAACCCTGACCTGCTTAGCCGAGGCATGGCGCATTATCCACTGGCAGGCTTTAGCTCCTCTCGTCACACACAGACATTTGCCGGGACACACGTGCACCGGTAACGCAACAAATGCCCCAGCGATGCAGCACAGCACAGAGATACCTAGCAAAGCCAGCCAAGCACATCAGGTGCCCTTTCATTGTCGACAAGGAGAGCAAGAGGGAGAGCGAGAGAATGCAAATGAAGTCTAAAAGTCATTGAAGAGCTTGTGTCCCTGCAGGGCTGTCAGTGCCCTTTCAGCAGCTGTCAAAGTGCTCATATTAGCTCCACTTTGGTTGGTTAAGAATATGTCCGATTTGTTTAATTTTTGCTTTCTAGTAAGTAGAGCTGGGTGGGTTATTTCCAGATGGGTTGGGTTTTACGGCTGAACTTTGCTCTGCAGACTTTGAGCTACTGCTTGACTTTGTTAGGTCAGGGAGATGCGGAGATGCGGAGCATTTAATCTGAATACACATGTTAGAAGTGGCACTATTCAATAGAATAGAATTCTATCTTCCAGTTGAATTCTATTCTAGTTTATTAATATATTATTTCCACACAATAAAAGGGTTAAGGCAAATTTACTTTCTGATTCAGGATCGTTACAGTATTTTTGCATGTTAAATGTGCCACTATTATTCCCACTTGTAATGAAGACTGGCTTCAAACAAGCACAGAGGGATGCTAAAAGAAACCAAGAGTGATTTTGCTGCAATGTGATTTTCTTTCTCTTTGTCTCCCTCCTCTTTCTTTCTGTGTCCGTCCACCCCTCCTTCTCTACCCTGGTTCCCTGGATGCTGAGCAAACACAATGTTCTCTCTGCAAGATCACAAGACTTATCAAGACAAACAAACAAACAACAGCAATAAGACAACTGCAAATTAAGGCCAATCTTTATACAATCAATAAAAGGAGAAGCTCCTTTAATCTCCCTCTCCGTCCTGTACACTGCAGCCCCTCCTCTCTTTTTCTCTTTCTCCATCCTCTGCCTCTCCTCCTCCACCCACCTACTCCTCCCACCCTCCCTCCTGTTTGCTCCCTATCTCAGTCCTTGCTGTGTTGCTGGGCTGGGCTCAAAGGCAAGGAAAACTGACGCATCGATTATTCATAGATCACCCCTTCTTTCTCTATCTCTCTGTCTTTTTTTTTGCCTTTCTCTGCAGTGCCCACTCTATTTACTACAAGGCTTATGTCAAAGTCTTTGGAGATGAGTTTGGGGAGGGCGAAATGTGCTGCTTCAGGTTGAGTTTTAGTGTGAAAGGCAGGCAGGGGAGTGGTTAAAAACAGAGAGGAGGGGGGAAAAAAAAGATCCTGGTGTTTCCTTCCTCTGGGTGCCCTTGACCCATCTTCTGTTTGAAATCTTCCACTGTGTCTAAGAAAAGATCTGTAGTTGCTTCCTCATCCGTCTTTTCTGTGCCACGGTGGGTTGTGTACGAGAGTGGATTCTCTCTCTTGCTCTACAATTCATTCCCTATGTCTTTTAGTCACCTCTTTGGGTTCTCCAAGGTTATTGTGCTCACGTCAAGCTCTAGTCTTTGCAGTGCTCTGCCTGTGTGTGTGTGTGTGTGTGTGTGTGTGTGTGGTGTTTAGTGTGTGTGTGTGTGTGTTGTGTGTGTGTGTGTTGTGCTGTGTTTGTGTCTGTGTTGTCCTCTTACCAGCCCTAATAATAGCCCTAGTGTCATAAACATAGTCTGGAGATCCCTGCGGCCAGCTGTGTCCGGCCTAGCCGCCCAGGGCTCCGGTAGTGACGCTGATGAATGGCTACACACACACACACTTAGTGTAGCTCCAAGCACATTCCCAGAGCTCTTGCCAAGCCAAAGGCCAAGACCTCCTGCCTCACCACCAAACTGCCCTTTAGAGTGTGTGTGTGTTTTTTCCTTCATATTGTTGAGCCGTTTTGGTAAATTACCCCTTTTAGAAAAAACAAAATCATGACTGAGGAACTACCTTCGTGAAATACAGGCAGGATTTAAACAGAGACACTCCAGACAAACAGATTTTCTATGTGGGCATGTGTTGGCTTTCTGCCATTTCATTGTTTATGGCCATATTTTGACAAAGCTGAAGGGCGGTTTCACTTTTGACTAGTCAGAGCAGGGGAAGAAGGTGTAGAAGGGGGACCAGAAAGGTAACAAAGCCTTGTGGCAGAATATATGGATGTCACATGGAGCTGAGGCAGCAGAACAATGGCTTTATGTAGAAGACCACCCCCCATATCTCCCACCCACCCTGTGGTGTACCCCCCCCGTTCTCTGCTGATGACACATTGCCCTCACGCACAGCGTACAGAGCATCTGGATGCACGCATACATTTATATCAGGACAGAACATATTGACAGGAAGTGGAAAAACCAAGTCTGCCTGTGTGGCTGTGTGAAGACGTTCATGTTTCTGTTAACTCTGAGCCGCTATTCACATCCTTTGTTTTCAAAAAGCACCATTGAGGCTGCTTAGTGGCAGTTTACTTTAGTATGCACTGGTAGACAGTGGTGAATATTTATTGCTGGAGAAAAGGCTCTGGGCTGCTCTCGATCCGATAAGCAAATGAGAGAAAGAGGTAAATTAAGCCCACACAGAGTCCGGAATTCATTCCGATGAAGGGGGTGGGGGGGTGGGGGGAAAGCAGAGGAGGGCACAATCGATTTGGAAAACTGACACCTACGGCTGATCCTTTACCCTCCACCCTCTTCCTCTGTCCTTTTCTCTATCCCCCTTGCCCCTGGGGTAGGAATTCCTTAACCCACACCACCAACCCCCACCTCCACCGCCAGTCCCCTGCCTGTCCCCTCCTCCTTTTTCTTCTTCACACTGCCCCACCTAGCTGTCTCTAGGGAGATATGGGGCAAGAACTGGAAGAGGGAGGGGCAGAAAAGGGGCTTTCTGTGTGCTTGTGTGTAAAGGGTGAAGGGGTAGAATAGATGGAGTAGGGGGTAAGGTCAATGAGTGGAGAGTAGGAAGCTAAAGCCATAATAAAGAAAAAATGGAAAGTGGGGAAAAAAGAAAAACAAAAAACAAACAATCTTTGCTTTCCTCTCGTCTCTCTCCCTGCTTACAATTTCCATTCGCTTGCATTTTCTATTGAAAGCCAATAGCGTTGTCCTGGACCCGAGATGGATGGCTGCACTAGAGCTAAGGTTTAATCAATAGGTCTTTTTAATTTGCCATCGATCCACGTTAAAAGCTACTGCGGCTGTTGGGGTGTGTGTGTGTGTGTGTGTGTGTGTGTGTGTGTGTGTGTGTGTGCGGTACATGCAGCAGGCGCAGGGATGGCCACTGTGCTTCGGTTTATTGACATTCTAGCCCATTATTTAATTTATCGATCCACGTTAAAAGCTACTGCGGCTGTTGGGGTGTGTGTGTGTGTGTGTGTGTGTGTGTGTGTGTGTGTGTGTGGCGGTACATGCAGCAGGCGCAGGGATGGCCACTGTGCTTCGGTTTATTGACATTCTAGCCCATTATTTAATTATTTAATTCCCAGACAGATACTAATGGAGCTAGCTAATAGATTGCGGTTGCTTTCCCCTCCTTCTGAGGCCCTGAATATACGTATAAATGGAATTAGACTCGACTTGGCTGGTGTAGGAAAGCATTCACGGTGCAATGCAAGGCCGCTCCCTTGAGACTAGACTCTCCTATAGGCACATCAACAGCTAGAAATGCACTTAGGAGCAAATCCAGTCACTGAAGCATGCCATGGGTAATTACGTTTGTAAATATCATAGGCAGCTATCAGAAAGTATCATGTCTGTCAGGGGTTTGCATCTTTTTTGACCCTAGTAGGTATTTCAGCCTTGAGAAGGTCTCCCCCATTCACTGATAAGGGGATGAAATAGCACTGTGGAGGCTAATTATACTCTGTGGGGGAGGTTAACCACCAGATTCCAATGTTACATTGTGTGAATGGTGGATGTGTGTTTGTGTGCATTTGTGAGAGCCTAGCATGTTTTAGCATTATCATCAGCTACACAGGCACACATATTAACATTCCTCCAGAGCTGTTAAGAGAAAAGACAATTAAAAAAAACAAACAAAAAAAACCATTTGCTATGTAAAGAAAAATACCTGACTGTCTTTCTACTCTTCTCTCCTGTGCCCAGGTGATCGTATACGTCAGACAGAGAACCGCGCAACCAGGTGTAAGGTGGAACGTCTGCAGCTCTTGATGCAGCAGAAGCGTCTGCGCAGGAAGGCCAGGCGGGACCAACGGGCTCCTTATCAGTGGCTGCCCAACCGCAAGGCGGGACGCAGCAATAGCAACAGCAGCATGTCCAGCGAGGGCTCCCTGGACCTGGACTTTGACGATTCAGTGTGGAAGCCCGATGTAAAGGCTGACTTGAAGTCCGAGTTCGTCATGGCCTGAACCATCTGCTCCCACATACGCATTCAAAGATGTGCAAAGCATTGCTTGGGATTTCCTTAGAGATAATTTTGAGGGAGCGGATTTGCAGGAGATGACATGTAACTTCAGAGAGGAAATCACAGTTGTCCTTGCGACAGTCATCTGTCACATGAAAACAGGCTCCCTGCAGACTCTAATCTCATTCTGCCCTTCGTGGGTGACCTTGTGGAAAAAAAAAAATAATACAGCAACATTAGCAAAAGAACTTTCTTGTGATGCTTGGATTTGGACAGGCAACTACTGGACTTAACAGTGTGCAAGACCTTTTTTGGGGGGTTTGATTACAGAGACCATACCTGTACTTGAGTATAGCAGAATTCAGTGGGTGGTGGTGGTGGTGGTATTTTCAGAATTTTTGTTTTTGTTTTTTTTCTTTTTAAATGCACTCTGGGGAGAAATGAAGAGATCCACACTGGACATAACAGGACAGGAGCACCAGAGGCTTCAGTGTTTCCTAATCAGAAGAAGGGCAGAACTGCCGGACTATGGATTATTTCAGTGGGCATTCTAATTGATCTCAAAACTCATCAACAAGAGTCCAGTTTTTACCTGTTACGGGGTGGTTAAACCTTTTCTTTTTCCACTTTTAAGCATATTATTATATTTTATAAACAAAAAAAAATATGTAGCATTGTTCACAAAGCATTCAGGTTTTCATATAACAGTTCAAAGTAGTTTGCACATATTCTTGATTTATAACAGCTGGTCAAAATGTGCGAGGAGGAGGTGGGGCCTGAAATAGAATAAATAATAAATATGGAAGTATTGATATCAACCTCAGTGACATAGGGTATTGATAGGAATGATTAATGAATACACAAAATAAATGAATATTAACAGAAAGTGCTTTAGAGGATTTTAAAATCTTTAAAATGTATATGAAAAAAAATCTATTTTTATTTCTCTTCCTATCTGCTGTTTTCAAAAAACAGCAGCCCTTTGTGGCTTTAGTCAGATCGTTGACTACCAACAAATATGTGCATCCATTCAATCATTCATTAGCTCATTCATGCCTTTTTTTTTTTTTTTTTTTGTCTGGCCACAACAAAAGTTACAGAAAGATCATTTTTCATGCAGCCAACCTCATGTGTTACAAACCTGAAGAGACTGAGGGATTTCGAGTTTGTGTACATAAATGTGACAATTGGCAAATGCTTGTTAGGGCGTGTGTGTGTGTAAGTTTGTTGTAAATTGATTTTTAGAATATCCTATGTTTTTGTCCAGTTGTCTTCTCTCAAACGACCCCATACGTTCTCAAATTTGTGAAGTTCAGCTGCCGTGAGCACATGGCCCACTACTTTGCAACATGACTGTATGAAAAAGCAAATTGGCTCCCAGTTTGATGCCCAATTGATGTGTACCTGTTATCACAAGTTCTCATAATGATGCCTTTTTTTTTTTTTTAATTTCTTTTACTGGCCAAGAGGGAGGCGAAATGGGGTCTTTATTTGGCATCATTATCTAGTGCCTCCACCAGTACATTCATTGACATATCAGGTTAGGCCTTTCACAGTTTTGCTGCTACACATGGGGACTTAAAATGTGGGGGAAAAAAACAAACAAACACGGGAGGGAAAAGTGACTTTCCTTTGCATGCAGAAGTGTGTAATTATGCTGATCTTTTTTCTATTGATGGAGGAAAAAAACGAAACTGGTGCTGTGGAAATGAAGGTTAACAACATGCATGAATTTGTGAAGAAAATAAACAATGCTGCTTTTGTTGGCAAGGTTCTTTTGTAACGTTTAATTTTTTTCAATGTTAGAACAACCGTGTCCTGCTTAAGTATTACGACGCAAAACCAAAACGGATGAAGTTAAGTGTGGGCTAAGCTTTGTTGCTCGGCACTGAATATTTCTGTTGCGCGCAGTGAAGATGAGGATGTGATGATGAGCAAAGAGCAACTGACTCTCTCTCTCAACTCCTTAAAAGCTGGTTCTTAACCCCAATGACTTTCAAGGACCCAAACAGCCTGCAAACTGTTAAACCGCCTCCCCTCCTCCCAGCCTGAATGCCAACAGAGGCTCATGTGGATGCATTCTCACAGGGAACCAACAGACCTGAGGATTTAGAGTACTGTCTATCAAACCTACTCAAGAGAAGCGTCTGGTCTGTCTGTCTGATTGACCACCCAACCACGATTGCACTCCCAGAGATTGCAGTGAGAGATTACCTTTTTGGTGAACCTCATCTATTTTTTTTTTTTTTTTTTTTTTTTAAGTGGCCTTACCTTTCACTAAAAAAATGAGACACTTGGGGACAAATGGGGGTGGGAATGTTTCCTGTTTGTTTTTTAAACTTTCTGTGCATATCGATGTTGGACACCGTTTTTGTCACAGAGGACACTGGGCATCTGTCGTTTAGTGCTTTTAGCTGGTGGAGTCTCTATTATGTCAAGGCTTCTGTGCCTTAAAATGTTGCCCTTGCAGTGTCAGTGTCAGATTTGAGCTTGTTATTCATTTTTTTTCCCCACTTTGTTGGTTGATACACATGACTGCAGTATTTTGCAGCAATGAGAGTCGTAGATTTTCTGGGTTAAAGCTTGTTTGAGTGAATCAAATACTTTTCAAAAGTAGGTTTTGTTCCTCAGATATGGTCTTTGTCCCATTTCATTGTGTTGCCATGCTTGTTGGTCTCTGTTATTCAAACCACACATCCCTCTTAACCCAGTCCCCAGCTGCCAACAAGCTGCAAAAAAGCTATAAATCTGTGTAACTTTTATCTGAGGAAGTTTACAGCACAGAACGTAGATGACAAGAAACAGCCCAGATTCAAAATAAAAGGTCCTGTAAGGACTTCCAAGACTACATGCACTTCCTGTTTCCTTGGATCCATCATTTTTAAAGGACAATTAAACCCCTGCCCCTCCCAAATGTTCATTTTGGGTTGTTTTTATTTTTTATTTTTATTTTTGGTTTTTTTTGTATATGTATGAACTATACTCTGTGTGTGCCTCACTTCTGTGTAAAACTCAAAGATGAAACAAAACAAAAAAGATGACAAAAGCATTACAGAGAGGATTAAAAACAGTATGTTGGTGGAATTCTGATCACGTCATTTAAGTTGCCTGTTCTTTCTTGTAGCCAACTATTGAAAATAACAGGATTCAAGAATACAATTTACAATGTTCTAGCTCTAGACCGGTGTAGCACATGTGTGACTGTATTAATTTATAAAACCAAAATGGTAACTGTGAATTATGTATTTCTTTGTGCATTTTTAAAAAAAACAAACAAAAAACAAAAAAACGACAAAAAAAAAAATAAAAATCAGTGGAAAAGGTTGTTGGGACGTGGAAGCAGCTGATGTTCATGTCCGAGAAAGGGAAACTTTTTTTTTTCTGGTGGAGTATAATGGAAACAGAATGTGTTTCTGAAAAAGAAAAAAAATGGAAAAAGCGAAAAAAATATATGAATATATTTTTTTTTCTTAAGCAATACATTTCAGTGTGACTTGTGATAGAACATTTTCTTTTTTTAGGTAATAAATAAATAACAAAATGAGTACATCACATTGTCTCCATGAGTATTCATTACTTACTCTTTTAATATGACTCAGTGATTTTCATCTGAGATCTGTTTCATGAGGTATTTTGATGATAATAATAATAATAATAATAATAATACTTTCAAAACACTCAAGGACACTGTACACAGCAGAATAATAAAAGCAACATTAAAGCAAGCAGTTTACACAATCATAAAAGCACAAGACATAAAACAAATTTAAAATAGCAGAGTGGAGAGGTTATGTGGGATAAGCTATTTCGAACAAGTGAGTTTTGAGTTGGGACTTAAAGAGAGAGAAGGGAGTGATATTTCTTAAATCAGGAGGGTGGGAATTCCAGAGTCGAGGAGCAGAGCAGCTGAATGCCCTGCTCCCCATGGTGGCAAGACGGGGGGAGAGAGAGAAGATCTGAGACACCGAGATGGGATGGTGATCTGAACCCGATCAGAGAGATATGGAGGGGAGAGATGATGAATAGCCTTAAATGTATACAGGAGTATTTTGATGTGAGTGAAATATGAAAAACTTGAAATTTCATTGGTAAAATATTGCTACCGGTGTATCCAAATGCATTTCTACGTGTTTATCTGAGTTTTTAGTGGGGGAATTCCCCTTATAGTCTTAAACCACCTTGAGTGTGTAAGTAAAAGTAGAAAACCCCTATATAAATACTAGTCTATTTATTGTGTTGTATACATAACAAGCTGACTGGCTATGAAGTGGTAATACTGGAACTACTAGCTTCTATGTTCTAGGCTGCACTGCTTAATGCTATCATCAAAGTAAACAAAAGAAATCATGTGATGCTAGTGGAAGTTGTGTTATTCAAGCATCTCTTCCCCTTACAGCTCAAATAGATTTAGATATTTATATTTGATTTTTATTACCTGCTTCAATCGTCATGACCTTACTCTTTCCTCCTCTTTCTCTTGTTTCTTAGTTCTTTGTTAACTCCCAGAAGCAAGTTAACTTTCCATAGCAAGTTCAGCTCTCGATTGCTGCCTATACTACAAACTTTGCATATTGCCACTGCTGTAGTATAAAGTTTGTCAGTCCTCAGGGGCTCCCCACTGACCTGAGAGCTGACCATATGTAGATGAGAAATTGGAGTGCAACTAGTGCTATCTAGCAAGCTTGTTTAACTACATTAATGGACATTACGGGGGAAATCACACATCCTAAATAAGTGCTGCTGAAATTGGAACACCGACTTTTTAAACTTGCTGTTTAACCACAGTGGAAGCCATATTATTTATCAGGTAAATATATGCTCCAGAACCAACATGACAAACACCTCAAGAGGTACCATCAAAGCAATAACATTATTTAAAAACAACTAATATTAAGAGTTAATTATGTGTAAATAAAAATAAAAATGAACTCCTGTAGTTGCTATGCTTATCTATAGAGACCAAAACTCCTTTACATTTCAGGGTGTAGGTATGTTCATTTCTACTATAAGGCTATACAAACTAACACGAGACAGTCTCAAGTAGCCAGTTAAGACATCATAGGTTTCTGGGCTTTGCATTGGCTTCATTTTTTCACTGTTCACTGTTAAAGGCAGTGGAACCAAGGGTCTGAATTTGTGGCTGGAAGGCAGCTGAAGTGGTGAGGAGGTTCAGTAAGGGAGCCTACAGAAATGTTCCCCACATCTGTGAGTATCGCCCAGCTCAAGATGAGACAGAATATGGAAGTGCAGTGACAGACTGGAGAAGGAGACTTGCCTCGTGTGAAGCCTTCTTCTTGACACATGTACTAACAACAAAAGGTGTTCTGAAGCAGCTTCCTGCTTATGTAAACAGTGAGGCTGAGAACCGAGCTTGACTTGGAGCATTAAGAAAAAGCTGAAAGAGGAAAGGAAGATGAAAGAACAAACCGATTGTCAGTCAAAGCCCCAATAACACAGCATACTGCTGTGAAATGTTGCAACATAGCATGGTGGCATCTTCTGTTGTTTCTTTTCAGATGCTATAACGAACTTAATGAGTCAGCATGACTGAAATGAAATTGGGGTAACTCATATTTGTACATTTATGCTTGCTGAGGCAAAATGGATCTTTGTGCGAAAGAGTGATGCTTATCTCTGATCTCTAATACACAAAACCAGTAATTCCATTTTTTTCCAGTCAGAGAAATGATGCTTTGTGTTGTTTACACCTTCATTCTAAAAGTGATAAGGACTAAAAATCTGTCCCTTGACCTTTTCTAATTCTCTGCCTCCCTTCCTCTTTCTGCAGATATGTTTCTCGTAACAAAAAAAAAAAAACCTCCTACTTAGTGTCCTTCCGAGTAAAAGCCAACACTTCTACGGCACGTCTATGGCTTGGGGTGAAATGCAGGGACAGCATAGTTTGATAAAATAAGACTTAAAAGTCGATCCAAGCATTGTCTTGAATCCACAAGGCTATTATGAAGCAAACTATTTTGTGAGCGTCACAGAAGTCTACATAGCTTTTTAACTTCAAAGTGACAAACCAGAACTCTCTCACTCAGCCTGTTTTGGGAAACAGAAACCACAATTATCTTTAAGCAGTGAATGCTTTTTCAGCACTGAGTCAACACAGTTAACACGAATCTGTCTGCAATTCTTAAGAAATATGTAACTAGCAAAGACACTGTAAGCTTTATTACAAACCTTTGTACAACAGTGTATTCATGCAATCAGCCAGTCGTGCTGCAGCAGTGCAGTATATAAGCTGGTTTCATACATGCAACCCTGAACTCTTCTAGGACTCACCCAACAGAGTAGTATGTGAGAATGCAAATATCTGAGTCAGCCTGGTCAGATAAAAGCCAGTCTTAAACCTGCCAGCTTCCTAGTACAAAGTCCGTGTGAGGCTGGATTGCTGTCACATGGTGGGAACCGACCACGTAATAGTCTGGTACACTTTTCACAGGTAAATCCATGCTACGTTTTGCTTCCTGCACATTATAATCAGGAAGCTCCTGTTCCTAAACGATAGACAGCATTTTCAGAAGCATGAATACTTCTTAACCTGAGAACCTCAATTCTACCAGTATTGGGGTTCACAGGGGAAAC